ATCATCATCATCATCATCATCATCATCATCATCATCATCATCATCATCATCATTATCATCATCATCATAAAAAAACAGCAATAGCAGTCGTTAAAAAGATAACAACAAAGCGGTGGTGGGACGTAATGGTCCTACAAAGTGGCCTTGAAAAACCTCCAAACGAACAAAATTAAGAAAATCACTTTGGGAAATAGAATCAGTGTGAACTACTCCATAAACCGGCGTCATCCCAACTGGGTTAACTGTCTGGGTTGTTTCTGATTTTTTTTCTTACTTGAGTTTTACAGCACTTGCAACACAATTACGTCTTATAAGTACCGAATACTAGAGGCGTTACAAGAGAGTAACAAACAGAAAGAAGGAGACGAGGTAAGGTCAGTAGATGTTTGATAGAAAAGGAGCAAACCACACCTGAGCACCCGTCAACCATCCACGTTAACAGTCTATTTCAAATTATACAAGGCGTAATCAAATTTAATTATGTGGTCCATTACCCATGACAGGTCTTGACAGAAAATTTAATTAGTGTGAAGAAATCTGTCTTTATTTTAAACAACACACACTGTTATACTAAATAATGTAATCAAATAGGTATGGTACAGTGACATCCCCCCTCCCCTCTCTCTCTCTCTCTCGAGCCACGTAACAAAAATACTACTTAGAATAAATAATTATGATGAGAATACGAAAGAAAATTCTCCCAGAAATAGCCCAAGAACAGTGTGGTTTTATTGAAGGCAAAGGCACTGTAAAGGCGCAAATGTCATTAGATCAATAATAGAACCTGCCCTCGAAGTTCAGAAAGATTTTCATATAATAATATGCTTTAAAGACTACACCAAGGCATTCGACAAAGTTAGGCACGACAAGATCTTTGACACGCTAGATGTCCTCAGTATTGACGGGAAGTACTTCAGGATTACCACTAACATGTACTGGGATCAAACCGCTGCAATAAGAATAGAAAACGACTTCAGCGAATACATACAGATTAAAAGCGGAGTCAGACAGGAATATGTACTTTCACCAGATGTGTTCTCCCTGCATAGTGAAAATATCATGAGACACATAGAAGAAATGCCAGGTATCTCGATCGGGGGACATAATA